CAACCTAATAGCGATGTCCTCCAACCTAGTAGCGATGGCCTCCAACCTAATAGCGATGGCCTCCAACCTGGTAGCGATGGCCTCCAACCTAAGAGTGCTTTTTGATTGACATGTAACCTCTAAGGAGGCAAGCATTGTAAGGGGTAAGGCCAAACGTTTTCTTGGTCTGCTTACATGGTCTGTAGGCATGAGAGATCCTTCCGCATCAATCGATCTTTCTGAAAACAATTGAAAACAACATCCCTCACGCAAGTGCAGCATCGACTTTTGCTCGCGAACGGGCTGTCGTTGGCGGCGCCAGCTTCGCAGTGACTTGGAAAAAGTTGAACAATAGTCTTCTGTTTCAGCTGTCGTGCTAAGTCATGCTACAGTAAGCCACGCTTTGAAAAAATGTTTAACCAAAAGACTGGTGTAAAATGTCTTAGAACATCTTAGAATCCATGCATTCCACCAATCTGCAAAGCTTGGGTCTCTGCCCCGGCATGGGCCGACGGCAGGGCGCTTTGCCGGAGCTTATTCAGCTCAGCAGTCCGAAGAGGCCCGGGGCGCACTATGTGGCTGATAATAGGACGCACTCTGGTGGGATTAAAGGATCTTGGCGAAACGCTGGCTCGGCTCTTTATTTTACCTCTATAGTATATAATACATATAATATAGTATATGTTTTTCTTCATTCTTCCCAAGCCAGAAATCACCCTGAGGATCAGCCATTCGCCAGCTCTCAGGCACTTCGGACATATCCACATTGGTCCAGGGAAGGACAACTTTCTTGCGAAGCCATCGTCCCTTGTCGGTCCCTAGGTCTCATTCAAGACCTCCGTTTCTCAACAGAACCTTTACATCAGGCTCTATATATGACTATATGCCCTTAATTTGCTTAGAGCTGGGATTGTGGCTTGCCTCCCACTTTCCTCTCAATCTCTGCAACTACCATGCTGGCAAGGCCATGTCTGTGTTCTTCAAGAAATAATGTATCCAACACTCGTCTCAACTCGAAGAGAGCTCTCAAGAACGGACCCGAAGTAACTCGCCCATCTGGGCTTCAGCTCTCCTTCCCGATCATGGCCCAGGAACTGGCCAACGGGGCAAACATTCGACACTCGCCTTCCGGTCACACCCAGGTGCAGGTCACTTGGAGACGCTCCACTCATGGGAAGAAACTTGCACCTACAACGTGGCGGAAGTTCTTAGCTCTGCTCATGTTGATTTGTGTCTAAGTTTCAAGAGTCTTTTAAGTAATCTTGGAACCTTATCTTCCGGAACTCCACCGCCAGTCTTTCCTGGCAAAAGCTCCCAGTCTTGCGCGCAAGAAAGGAGCCCTTTCTCAGCACATCTAATTTGCTATCAAAAGCCATAGTTGGTGCGAATCAGTGCACCAAAGGCCCGGCCGCCACTGGCTCTGCTTCACACGGTGAAGCACACAAATAACCAGCTAACCACGCAAGAAACAAACTGTGAGGGCAAACATGGAAGGAGCAGTACCGTTGACAGTACGACAAGAAGTGACAAGAAATGGAAATTCAACCATGTCCTGAAAGGCACTAAGATGCAACTTCCATGACAGCCCTCTGCTCAGATTCCTACGCGCAGTCCACTGTGCTGTACACTCTCAGGTCGAGGTACTGTGGAGATGTAAGTCCGAAGGAACCAGCTGCAATATCAAACAGAAAACTTGCAAGAACCTTCAAGTCCGTTTGACTGCCAAGGCTGAGGCCCAGCATTCAAAGCCTAAACCTGAGAGGCCTGCTTCTGCGCTGCTCAGGAAAAGGGTCATTGCATAAGCCATTTGCATCTGCGTATTGCATCTGCTTGTTGCATCTGCTTTCGTTTGCACCCCTCTTGCCGATTGTTACGGCATTAGCGAATAATTGGCAGCCGCGTGTGGCTTGCAGTGCTCATCAGGAAGGCGCCAACTTTGGCCTCAGGATGACTTGCTGACGTGCATCGCGACGTTCAAACCCAGAGGTCAATGTGCTCCCCCTTGTGTTGCGCCTGTGTTTCTTCATGTCATCCTTGCTCCTGGTTTCCATTGCATGCTCTTCGCGCATTACAGCTTGTGCAGCAAGTAGCACCATTTTTGAATGCCGTGTCATCTTTCTATGTTTCAATCTTGTGTGCCACTCTGAGCGCGGGACCGTGCCTGCGGAGGCGGTGAATGCTCAAAGCTGGTAGGAATGACATGAAAAGTTTTGATGAAAGAAGGTGTAGTATTATGTTGGGCGATGGCAGCCATACATGGCCAACCATCAAATAGTTTTTTTTGTGAAAAAAAAGTGAAAAAAAAAACAAAATAAAAGCAAATGAAAAAAATGCAAAAACAAAGCAAAAAGCAAAAACAAAGCAAAACAAAAGCAAATAACAAAGCGCTATAATAGGCAAAAAAATGCAAAAAAATGCAAAAAAATGTAGCTGTGCGTAGTTGTCGCTTTTTTTCACTTTTTTTTTCGCTTTATTTTCGAAGCTCTTTTCCTAGGAGGGTACAGCTTATTTTTCGCTTTTGTTTTTGCTGTACCCTCCTAGGAAAAAAAGCCAAAAAAATGCCAAAAAAATGCGAAAAAATGCGAAAATAAAGCGAAAAAAAGTGGGAAAAAAAAGCGACAAATACGCACAGCTACATGTTTTTCTTTTTTGTTTGCTTTGCCTTTTGCTTTTTTGTTGCTTTGTTTTTGCTTTATAAAACTATTTTGGCTCCTTATATCTATGGCTGGCGTGCCCGACATAAGTGTAGTAGGCAACCGAGTGAGTTCAGGAATTCTTTGACTTTTGGGCAGCATGTTCAGGTGGATACGGTTCATCAATCCCAGCCTTTGCGAACGGAGGATACCCGGGCAGGGCCAGCACAGGTCAGATAAGCTGCCTCAGCTTGTACAGTTGCCAGTCACGTGTGATGCCTATAGCTCACTGCAAAGAGGCATCAAATGAAAGGCTTCATCCATTAAATGTATATATATATAGTTTGTAAAGATATGTAGTCATAGAATCAAGATGCAACATTCCCATATCGACCTACCAGTACACTGAAGTTTACAGAGTTGCAGCAGCAGCCAGACCGTGCCAGGTCGAATGCAAGAGGGAGTAAGCCACCTCCGCAATCCGCCCTGTGGGCCTTGAGAGGGGCGAACGAAATGCAGGTCACAAGTCGACTGAGGTCCGAAATCATCCAAAATCGACCTCCAACCTAATAGCGATGGCCTCCAACCTAATAGCCTCCAATCATCCAAAATCGACTTTGACGTAGTAGAGACAGCTGCATCCAGGAGACAATAAGGAAGGTATGATGAAGCATAGCAAAGCAGCTGCAGCTACCGGCGCCGCCCTCTTCCGTCCTTTGTAACCTCACAAAGCTGGACTCTTCCGACCACTCTCGGTCTTGAAGACTGTCTTTATGCGGAGGGCGCTGGTCGGATTACGCAAGTTTTTGGCTAGGCTAGCTTCCCAAAGGAGCAGTAAAACTTAGTATATAAAATGATTTGCAAACTGTACAGTGTACAGTAACTCAGCAAATGTGCAAACGGATTTGTCTGCTTGACTGAGCCAAATGAGATTGACTTAATTTTTGGATCTCGCAAAGTCCAAGGGTCATGAAAATAGGCTGAGCGGCTAAACGCCAAGTAAAGCCCAAAAGACACGGAGAGCAAAACGTCACCAGCCTAAGCCGAGAAAACATGGACACAAGCTTACGAGAATATTGAAGATGCTTGGCTTGCCATGTCCATGGACATGGTAGTGCACATGTCCCCTCCGTCTACCACAGTAGTGCACATGGCCCCTGTCCCCCCGTTTTGCTGTGCAACCAACCAAGCTGAAGCTACCAAACCTGATGTAGCCATTTTGGAGTGTGTGTTCAGGTTCGTTGGTTGGAACATGACAAACAACTTGCTTCGTACTAGTTGAAGACAACTGCACGGATGAGCCATTCCCCATAAGTACCGCACGCAAGCGCATCGAGTGAGGTGGCCGAGCGGACCGTGGAACGGGTGCAATTGGTAGCCGTGGTAAATGGTCGAGGCCATAGTGACCATGGCCTTGCCAAAGCAGAACCCGACAACTCTTCTGAAAAAAATAGACCTAAAGCAGAAACCGAATCTAAATCATCGGGCATTTCTTCTTGAGACCCGAAAAATGTTTTAAACCCAGCCCCAGAGCAGACTGCTTGACCCACTGTGTCAACTCAGTGGTCACTCAAAGCCTTGTATGCACTTCTGGTCGGGTGAATGAGTCTCTCTGGTGCCAAGTGATGAGTCAATGCTGGCAGGGCACGACCCACACCACCTCAAGCACCTTCCGCCTGATCCAGAAAAAGGGCACCAAGGCGAGAAAGAAGAGGTTTGAGATGAGACACAGGCTGCCAAACCTGAGACGAGCGAAACTGGAGGACTGGACTGAATAAGCATCCAGAATCGGTGCCTTTAAGGAGATACATGGAGATACCGATTCTCATTGAGACTCTAATAAAGCACTTGCCCATTGGACCTCCTGCTTCTTCCTCCGTGTTTCCCTCCACCAAGTTTTATCCAGTGGCAAGGCATCAGGTTTGCCTGGTTCTGAGATAAAGTAGAGGACGTTGTGAAGACCACATCCGCAATGACTGCAAAGTGCGTGTTCGTGCCAGTGTCCTCCGTACTTCCGCTGTCAAGATTGTTCCAAATTGAAGAAGGCTTACCTTCACAGGGTAGTCCTCCAGCTGCAGTCGATGAAAAAAGGTGCAGAAACAAGCAGGCCTGAGATGCACACGGAGTCAGTTTTTAGTGACCCTGCTTGCACATGCCCCACGCAAAGGATTCGTTGTTGTTTTGGTAATGGCAACGTTCGTTCATTGTGGGTACCAGCATCATTCAGCTAGAAGGCCACGCACAGCGCGATGGCACCGCCCACCAGCAACAGCGGGTAGTTGTCGAGACGGAGTGTCTTCGTAGCAACGATGCCAGGGCCGACAAAGTGTGTCTGCGTGGCCTTCGCTCAAAAAGCAAGTGATAGCAAGTGGTTCTCCCTTGTCGATATCCGGGTATTTAAAAAAGACAAGCGCATGTGTGGCAAGGATAAATTTGTGCAAGTGACCGGTTGCCCTGCTCCTCTTACTTTTGGTGTCCATGTACCAACATCAGGCCTGAGGAGAAAGGTGCAAGGTATGTTACAAAGAAACCCAAGAGCTTCACAACGAACAAACACACAAACAAAAAGCCAGCCGGTAAAAAAAGAAATGAACACCGCCCAGATGTGTTCTACCCCAGTTTCTCTGCCAAGTCTCTTCTGTGTTGTCCAGGGATTTCGAAACCATTTCGAGGTGGACTCGGAGCCTTGGCCGAGGAGCTTGCCCGGTGGCCCGACATGTTTCAGGTCGATGCTCCAAGGAACGAGTCGGTGGAGCCTTTGGAGCATCCACATTTGGCCTCGAAGACCAATTCCAAGAGAGCCAAGACCTGAAGTTCACAAAACATCCGATCTGCTCTTTTTTTCACCAGTCTCGATCTGTTTTGAGAAGAAACTTCCAAATTCATCTGTCCATAATCCTGAGACTGCGACCTGCTACCACCAAGGAGGAGCAAACAAGCCTCAATCTGAAATCACCAGTCTGATCTGCCCCTATGTCTTGACTCATCAAAGAACGAAACCCCCTCGAGTAGTCTGTCCCGCAGCAAACTGGAAGATATAAAATTCGCATTCAAAGCACGCTTCATATTCTCCATGGCAAGCGTGGCAACAAACAAGCCAGCCCTGACGATTCAAACAAATGAACCATGCTTTGTGGACGAGAAGCTACCAGCGTCCATGCCAGGCGAGAATCACGACAGGCCTTAGAGGTGCAGCAAAACAGTCGAAGCTCGACCAAGCGTTGCATTCATCGTGCTCTGTGCTCAGCATATTATGTCAAAGGCGCTACCTTGCGCTGCATCGCTAGCCTGGTCGTTCAACAGGGTTTTGCTGCAGCTTACAAAGGACTCAACAAGAGGCAAATGACAGCTGACATGTTGAATGTAAAATCGCAAAGCTTGAGCAGCCTTCTGAGCAGCTGATGATGGGCTACAGATTGAGCCAAATGCCACAAGATGGATTCATGGCTGAAATAAGAAAAAATAGAGTCGAGGTTTGCATCCAAGATCGAAGGATCAGTCATTATGAGTATCTTGAATGACAGAGACAAAAGTGATGAGCTTCGTCCCAGGTCACAAACCACCCAGAAGTTGCGGAAGAAGGGTGGCAAGATATCCTGGCATCTGCGATATCTTGTGAAGATTAAGCATGCCTTGTTGCATCCAAACTCCTAGTAGCGATTTCCTAGGAGCTCCTTGTTGCTACTACTATATTATAGATTATAGTAGTAATGCCAGGAGCTACTAGTAGCTTCTTGCTCCTAAGGCCTTGAGAGCTGTGAAAGTTGGAAGTTCATCTTGCACTCCATCAGCTTTCTCACACTCTCGTCGCTTTTTTCGGCACATCGCAACACAAAGGAGCGGAGCAACCATCCAGCCTCTCGAATATAGCTGGGTTCAACACCCTCTGTGGCCACACACTGCTTGACCACCTGTAGCAATATTGAAAGAGGTTTGATCTTCTCGTTGCAGCATTTGAGTGTGCACACTAGCATCACATGACTTGTTGGACTAGTGTTGGACCAGTTGGACTTGCATGGAATGTTGAACCTCACTACCTTGGTGGAGGGCCTTCAGCACGATCTTTTTCATCTCTTCATCTGGAGTTGAAAACTCTCGAATCAAGATGATCATCACCTCGCAATAAAATCGGAGCTCGAAAAACACTCTCCTTGATCATTCCACGTGCTCTTATGTGCTCTTCTTGATCACGCCTCTCGTGTATAGTAATTTGCATGCTCGGCATCCATCAACGGGATAATAAAACCGATGGCCTCAAGACTAAGCTTCCAGTTCCAGGAGAATCTATCAGTCTTCATGAAAAATTAATCTTGATTCGCCTTCAAAAAGGCAGCCAAGCCCTTTCCGCGGTGCTCGCAAATACCTCAGACAGTGGGTAGGGTCTTTTACCACTAGCGTTGGCTTCTTCAGAACGAGTGAGCAAGAGGCCCTTCCAGAGAGGTCGTAGCACGGTATCAAAAGCCTCAATGCCGTAAGGCATAGCTGCCTGCAGTCGCTGTGTTGTTGAAACATGCTCGAGCCAATTAAATTGTGCTCCGCTGTGCTTGTGTCCTTGCTGTAAAGCAGCAAAGTTTCTCCGATTGATTCCTCTGCGGACCCCCGCCTCTGCAAGTGCTGCCAAGGCCAGTGCCGTGATCGTGCGCACTTTCTGCTGCTCGTCCTGGTGCAGGGGGTTGATTGCTTCAGCCTTTTAGTCCACTTACATTACTTGATATTACTTGGGAGAGGCGGTCAACCAATGTGGTGCTGTGGCTTTGCTGGTGGTGCGGCCTTACTGTAGTCTATAGCATATCACTGTCCTGGAGACCATGGGCAATGATGTCCACCATTTGCTTCAGGTGTGGCAACACTGCACAGCCCTGTGGTGAGCGGCAGTGCTTCAAGGACAAAAGCAAGTCCAAACAACGGGAAAAGATCTCCTGTACTATGTCTCTATATTCTGCACACAAGCTCTTTGGGAGAGTTTGTGTGAAACGTGGTGATCTGGGCATGACACCATGAGGATGGCAATCTGCTGCACCTTGGCTACAAGGTAATTCACGCGCAATGTGCGGATCGAAACAGTAGAGTAAAGTAGTTCAACCAGACAATGCTGCAAAAACATTTTACATGTTGGCCAGTTCTGTGCACTAATGTTGTTGCATGTTGCTGTGAGTCATTTCCGAGCTTTCACCCTTCCGTGTGCTTAAACCATCTTAAACCTCTGCACTTGCACTTACCCGCTTCATCCTCTGTCAATGCAAAAGCCTTTGTGTCTCAGGAGTGTCTGGCAGAAGTCCTGACTGTTTAGACACTCGCCGGGTTTGGTCAACAAACACGAGTGACCCCAGTGGTTTACAAAGGTACTAGTAGCTTCTTGTTCCTAGTAGTAAGGCCAGGAGCCCCTAGTAAGGCCCCAGTAGCGCCCTTGCTCCTAGTCGCTATGCCAGGAGCCCCTAGTAGCTTCTTGTTCCTAGTAACACATGCCCGTGCACACGAGCCGAGGCCCCGACAATCTTGATTCCTGTGTGTCTGGCCTGCCAGCTCTTCTTCGATTGGCACACCTGGCAACTACAAAATGGAACTGAAAGTCGCTCCCCAAAGCATCCGGCCACCACCTGATCCAAACATCAGCTTGCACCAATTCGCTACTCCGATCCCAATTCAACTGACTTCCAAGATTTTTGTGTAAGACCTCTGTCAGTGTCTGGCAATTGAGTCACGGAATTGCATCATGGCCGTTGAATTTGGAGGGTATCCTTGGACCTGTGAGCTGAAGGCTTGCATCACCGATATTTTGTCTTTTGTTCAGACGTTGAGGGATTCGCCTGCAGAACCCGGGTGTCTCCCCATTTGCAAATGTCCAGAACCTTGGGCCTTGTCTCTTCTGTCGTCGATCAACGCACCATTCTTTGTGTCGTTGCATCTTGCTACGGGGGTCTCTCTTCTGCAAATAAAGCGGCAAGCACAGTAGCGTGGGGTACGACAATCACTACAGGGAAATCGATGTACAGTCCCTCCACCCACTTCGCCCTCCCCACCGCTCGCAAGAAGAGCAGCAACGAGGGAATGCCGAGGGCAGAAGCCACCACAGCAAAGGCCCGTGCTGTTGTGTTTCTAACGTACCTGAGTTCGCAGGCAAACTAGGAACAAACATGTGACACCAATGCAAGCATATTGCTGCTGTCGAATGTAAACGGAAGCATCGTGGCATTCGTTTTGAGGGCACTCATCTGCGTGGTCAATATCCGGTCTCATGGTTGAAATCATCGTGGCAAGGCCTGGCTGAGATGGCTATCTAATGGGAAGAAATGCAAGAACGGCACCAACATCTTGTCTGAGGACATAGACATAGACTTCAATTAGCATCGTTAAGTGCTCGTGCTCTGCTCTACAGCGTTCTAGCAACTTGCATAGAAAGAGCTGTTGCAGTGTTCTTTGCAAGTGCCCTCTACAAGATAATCAAAAGGATAGAGCTTGCAAGTTTCGTGATTCAATGTTGATGGAACAGCTCCCAATTCTCTCCGCCGCAGCTCTCCAAATGATCATTTTTGGCCCCTCTGCTTGTAACGTTGCCAATAGGTATGTCCATTGCCACCCGTGTGAAAGTCTGCTACAGTAGCCAAGCCGGCGCGACTTTGGCTGCAACGGACTGGATTGGAGTTTGGTTGTCCAACAAGACCATGCCGCCAGGCCATAAAGCCCGATCAACTCTACCGCCTCTCTGCTCCGACCACGGTCTCCGCTGTCAGGTGTCCAAGTCTTGGTTCCTGGGTAGTCAGCTTGATGTCGCCATCGCACTCCTTCATGGAGATGGATTCCCGATAGCTTCAGGATGCTTCAGTGAAGTATGCTGTTCTCGGTCTCACACTGCAGGAATTAACTGTCACTTTATCTTGTGAAAAAACGCTTCTTTCAGGAGCAAGTCCTGACTGTGCTGGGTGAGCTGTAACCTCCAAAGCTACTCCTACAAATTCTATGTGCAGTAGCAAAAAGAAATCAAGAATGATGCCATCCAGCAGGCCAGGTGTCAACCCCAGCGACAGCGACGAGGGATGCATCGAGATCCAGCGCCAACATCGGACGAAGTTGCTGCAGGTGTGCCTTCTATGGAGCGAAGGCAAGAAAAAACTAGGCACAGCGGCACAGCAGTGTTTTGTAGGTGCTGCTTCAAAGGAGAAATCTTGGTTTTTTCCCGGGGGGAAGGCCGTAGAGGGAGGGTAGCAAGGTAGGTAGCTAGTAGAAGCTAGGCAGCTAGTAGCTTAAGTAGCTACTAGCATGGACGCAGGATAGCTCGCGCTTCTTCAAGGACGCTCCCCCCGCCGCCCTAAATACATTTGGTTCGTAGATTTTTAGGGAAACTTAAGTGTCATATTATTTCAAGTCTTCTCCTCCAGAGTGAGTCACATGACCAGGGAGATCATGTGCGTTCACCTGCATTCACCCTCTCGTTTGTTCCGCCTGTCCTTGACATCTTTCGTTAGCCACCAAACCTCTGGGCACTGCTGGTCATGCAGCTGGAAAAAGCATTAAAAGCCTTGCAGTAGCTTCGTAAGGGTTAGCCTCAACAAGGCTGGCTGGAAAACTGAAGCTTGGATGTTTTTTTTTCAATCTCCTGGTAAAAAGAACACGGGAAAATGGATAGTGGAAAAAGCAAAAGAAATTGATATAAATATTACGATGCCCACGCCAAAGCACGGAAGAGGAAAGCCCGCAGAGTAGCGCAGCAATGCCAAGTAGCTTTCAAGCAAGGACATATGGACCACAGACCAGTGGTTCTTTCCTAGGGTGCCTTCAGCTTCCTTGCAACATGCGATGACCTCATGCCAAAGCCACTTCCAACCTCAAGGAAGCAAAGCTGTTGGCCAACACATGTCCCTTTAATTCTCAAGAAATTCAATTGTAAAGTCTGCATGCAAAGTGCCGAGCCGCCGCCGTGAAGCTCCAAATTCTCCAAACTGAGCTCCGCTGGAGTTAACAAACCTCCTACTCCAAGGGTCTTCTCCAGCCGACGCCAGCATGTCACAGCTCGACGTTCAGCATCCACAAGCTCTTCTCTTATGCTCGGAGACTGGTCACAACTCTCACAGCGACTGCACTGACATCGAAAGCAGTGCTTGGCCCACAAGTAGCAACGCCTGTGCACAAACTCATCACTGGATATAACTGGTTTAGTAGTGAATTTTGTGTGTTGTGATCCAACCATCTAATTATAGATGTGTGTATATATATATAGAGAGAGAGAGAGTTCGAATCACGTTCAAAAGCGTGTGCGGGTCACATCCTGCAGGTGATCCATTTCGGTTTAGTTGAACTGCCATGGGCAAAAACTGCTCGCCTGGACATGGTGTCTTGTAGAAGCAACTTCTCATCCGCAATGTAGCTGATGGTCAACAGCTCCTTGCGTTCCAATCGGCGTAGGCTCCGCAGCTCCAACAACTTCCCATCCTCCACCGTATGGCAGTTGGGCTGGCAGGAGTGGGCGAGCTTGGAGGCCCTCGCCGCTCATCGCCAAACGACGCGGTGTGCGCTTCCAAAATCAAAGAAAAAGATCCAAAGCACGTCCCAGTGAGTGTTCTCTCAATTGGTGGTGTGCCCTGGCCCTGCCTAGAAAAAAGAGCTGCTTTCATGCCAAGGCATTGGGCATTGACTCTGCAGACTTGCCTGCAAGGAGTGTGGCAGCGGCATGTCGAATATATACTATGTACATTGTATATAACAAGTTCCGAGTTCCGGTCCAGCCTAAAATGCACCAGCGAATCAAGGTGGCACTCCATGCCTTCTGCACGTAGGGTCGAGACTTCATCGTCCGTGAGACGATACTCTTGGCAGTCAGAGTCTTCCACAGCATGCATATTCGCCTGCACGCGGTGGAATTGTTTGGTAACGCAGCGATGTCCACATTGGGCAATGGGACCCAGACCGGCGTGGTCGGATGTGCGTGGCCCGTGTGCAGTTGCTTTCGTGCTTTGTGCGTTTGGGTGAATGGCTTCGATGTTCCTAGTAGTTTCTAGCTAGTAGTAATGCCCTCGTTACTAGTAGCGATGCCCTTGTTAGACTGCGAGTTGCTGTCCACCGGCTCTGCAAGTTGGAACACTGAAACCTCGTCGCCAGTTTTTTCGACGCCTTTCCTCGGCCTCGTTGGGAAGTTTCATGTCTAAACTTGCTTGGAGAAATGTACCGGCACAGAACCACGAGGCGACCAAGGCACCAAGGCTGCATACAAATCAACAAATGGAGAGAGAGAGAGAGAGAAAAAATACAATAAAAACACCAACAAATTGGTGGGCAAATAAACGATAGATGGTTAGCTGGGCAACCTATATAATCACATGCATGTCTGCAGGAACTTTTGCCAATTCCATGGCATCGCGGAAGATGCCAGCACTCCAGTCGTTCGCCTCAAAGTCATCCAACTGGTCACGCTGCGAAGGAGTCAGCCTCCGCCATGCATCTAGCCAGTCCTGCCTACCAGGTGCTCAGCAGTAACTGGGTTGAACCACTTCTCTGAAGACAGTGATTTGTTCCACCTCTAGCTCATATTAGGCAACAAAGTCTCAGCAGAGACTGAAAATAAGCTTTTGAAAGCAAGATTGAACCGCAAGCGGCCTCAAGCGGTTATATAAATCCATCAAATGTTCAATTTACACTTTCAATTCAAGGAAATATGGCCACTTCCTGGTGTCACTCAGCCATGGTAGCCGAATGGCAGGAGCTTCGCGAAGGAGCAACTCACCAGCGCTGTGAGCACAGTTTGACACAAGCTGCCGCCCAAATTTGCCCTCCTGCAGTTCCTGCCGGATGTCATCAATGGATCTGCACGCACAACCTTTGACTTCCATGTCTATGCTAAGTGCACAGACATAAAAACATACATACATCGGGGGGAGAATACTTGAAATGTCTCAACTCATGATCACAATGTTTGTGGTTGTTCACCTGAAAACCTAAAGCTGGTACTATATATATATGTATATATTATGTTTAGTCTGAACAAATGAATGTCGTGAGCCCTACAGCGTGCACTGTCCTCTCAATATTCTGTATGTATATCGCCGAAAGCACATGCAGTGACTGCAGTGTGCACACAAAACAGTCTAATCCACGCAGTTCCCCAACGATCCATTGCCCAAAAATGACAGCGCTGTCTGGGCGACTCTCCGTCGTAAAAACAAATACCGTACTCATCACAACTACCAGGGGACGAACACAAAAATACGAGACTGAAGTGGCACCTCATTTGCCCAAAGGAATGTTCCTGACGCCTAAGTGGGATGCCCAAAGGCTACGAGGTTCTATGTGGATGTTGACGTGGCCCAGAAGTGGTTGCAACAAGTCGGCCCCATCCGTCCAGATCAGCTTCGTATGGCGACAGCGGAGCTGACAGCTCCGCTGGTTCGGTTGTGAACTCGGACAAGATTTGTCCATGTGCCAAAGAGTTCATCTTCTCATAGGCACCCTTGGTACTGTGCAGCTTCTGGTCTAGTCTGTCACAGCTCGCTGCCATTGCGGCCAAGACTGACCTCAGGATCAATTAGCTTCTACAAGAGGCTGGGAGAAAAATCAAAAACAGTGCAGTTGTGCAATGTTATGCAATGTCTCGAAGTTGTCAGAAATTTGACATGTGACTCCAGATTGTTGAGCGAGGCATCCAGAGCTTCACTCATGTCTACGGATGGATTGAAGCCGATTCCCCAACTCGGCAGTGGGCCATGTGGAGCTTGTGCCACGAGCTTTGTTCTAAGATTTGAGCTGCCACTGTTTGAGCAAAGGTTGCCTTTCATATCCAGTAATATGCTCCGCAATGTACAGATTCTGGACTATGTCTTCTAGTCTACGAGTAGAAGCAACCTCTCAATGTGAATTGAAAGCCTCTCACCAGGAGCTTCAGACCGGCGTGCCTGCTGCCTTGGCCAAATTGCTAATGATTTCTCGCCTCAAGGCGTCGACTCGCGTGTCGAACGTGGAGAACACAAGTTGGACAAACGAAACGAAAAAATGGCTCGGCCTTGTAGAAGGTAACAAGAAGCTACTAGTAGCTATTTGTTACTAGTAGTAAGGTTCGGATCTGCAAGGCGTTCCAAGAATTCCACTTTAAGCTCAGTCCGAGCGGAGCAGCATACTTGCCCGCACTTCTGAGACTCCGAGCCCCTCTACGCGCGCGAAGTAGTCCTCATCGATGAGCAACGGCTCAATCACCACCAGGATTTTGTGGACATATGGCCGCACCTGGGACATTCATCATGCGACTTTTTGGGACATTCATATGGCCCCACCGTCCATTCCGGGGTCGTGGCCATGTCATCCAGCTTGTAGAGCACGCGATCGATGACCTACAGCTTAGCAAGAAGGAGCTTCCAGCATTCTTTCCTGAAGTGTTACTAATTTCTCTCTCAAGGGTTAGATGATCCAGCGGAGCTTGCAGGATTGAACATTGACTGGGGATTACATGGAAGACTGTATTAAAGTGCTGAGAGTTTGATCAATGTGGTGTTCCGCACGTGATGCACAGCACTTCTGAGCACCCCACCTTTACCAGCAAGTGTCTCTCCTGATCTTCAAGGGTGCTACCTCGAGAGACGAAGACTTCACATGTCACGCGTATTGCTACACAATAATATGCAATATGTATCTGAGAAAGTTTTGTCGCCTTTTTGGGCGCAAGCCATTCTATTTTCACCAGACACGCGAAGAGGCGGCAGCTGCCAGTGACTGGTTTATGTGATGAAGAGAATGCAAAAGCTACTGCCTCTGTTTCCTCTTTGGGCCTATCTTCAAATCTAAGGTGGCAGCTCATGAGCAGAGGAAGAATCTGATTGAAGAGTGGTCCAGGTCCAAAGCTACGCGCACCTGCAAGAGTGGTCCAGATTGAATGAATGATCAAACTTTGAGAAAAAAGATCAAAACTGTTCTTGTTGGTCGTTTGGTACTAAAAGGTCAGGGTAGTTCCATGAAAGACCTTTGGCCTCCAGTCACGAGTCATGCGAGTGGGTAGAGACGGGGAGGCATAGGGATGCTAACGGCAGATGGGCCGAGGCCCAAGCTATCGGTGAGCTGTCTGAGGGCTGATCGCCGCATGGGCGGGGTGCCATTCTTCACCTCAAAAGGTCAAATCATGGCTAGTCATCCTGATCACTAAGTGACTAAGTCAATCATCATAAGAGATGATCAAAAAGTCAAATCTGATCTTCTGGTAATCTCTTATCGTGCCTTCAAGCCTTGCTTCCAAGGAACTACAGGGTTCCGACTACATCAGGTAGCTACAGCAGAAACAAGCGGAAGCAAGGCCACAAATCCCCCACCTTCAGCAGTAGTCGCATGATCTTTCGCTCCTTTGCCTCCTCTGGGGAGAGGTTGTCATCGTTGTCACCTGCTCATCAGCTACTTGTCTTGAAGAAGCAATTACGTAACAAGTATAATGCCTTGTGTCTAAATATATATATATATACTCACACATACATCATAATCTGCTCTACCATTCAAAGGCATGCAGAATAGAAGCACGCCATGAGTATCCTTTAGTTGGTCGTTACCCCTCACCCAACAGTAAGGCACCGACCAGCTAGCAAGGGTGCAAAGTACGAGTAGTCCTGCACGGCTAGCCAAAAGCTACTTGTCCAACCGTTGCCATGGTGATGCATATACTCATATATGTAATCACTAGTAACAAGGACGCTACTAGGGGATCCTGGCATCGCCACTAGGAGCAATCTTGCTTCTAGTAACAAGAAGCTACTAGTAGCAAAGGGCATCGCTACTAGGAGCAAGGACGCTACTAGGGGCTCCTGGCCGTACTACTAGGAGCATTCTTGCTACTAGTAACAAGTAAAGTCTAGTCGTCACCGAGCTGCCGAACATCACGTCAGTGGGTCAAAAGCGACATTCGAAGCACAACAACGTGCTCCTCTGGCTTAATCATTGGCATTTCGCCCACTGCCGGATTGTCAGGAACTTCGTACCTTAGACATCTTAGACATGTTGGCTTATCTGAGGGGGTTGTTTCAAATACATCTGGACATCCCTCTCTCATGGCATCGCCGCCAAAGCTGGCATCCTCTTGACATTATCAAATTGGAAGCGGAAGTGACTCTTCACAGGTCTCCCAACGGCTTTGGAGCATCAGGACTTTGCATGGAGAAGAAAGGCGTGCCGCCAGGTGTGGGCCTTGGTCCAGACTTTCACCACCGACGACTCACGAGGCTTTTGCTGTTGTCTTGGTGGTAGACGTTGGTGTGGAGGAAAGCACCTCAGAGCAAGGGAAAATCCGTGCAATATGAGCAGTTGCAGAAAGCAAGAGGAGTAGGCACTGGAAACACGCAAGTCTTGGATGATGGCCGACTTGCGGATCGGATTGTAGTTGGCCGGCGGCCTATGCTAGGCTTCAAACATCAAAATGGAAGGATGATTGCCCAAAATAATGTCTGGCTAGGCCATAATTCATCATAATTCTAGATCATGAAAACTTGACTTGACTTAACTTAATAGTTCTTGCAATGCCCGTTGTGGGAAGGATGTCTTCAATCACAAAATGTCCGGCGCTTTGGCCAGCCTGACTATTTCATAGCCGGTCTGAGGAAAGATTGCATCCAAATCCTGACAGTGCTGGACTGGAACACAAAAAATGTGCATCTGGCTGCATCTGACTGCATGTTGCTGCTTGTGTTGCCATGGTCTTCTTCTGCGTTTCCTCATCTGTCATTGGAGCATTCCGCTCGTTGATCTCGGCGTCATACCGATATGCCTACGTGAGCAATGGAGTCATTCACATTCTTTGCAGCTTTGGAAGCACATGTCTCTTGGTTGAGCAAACTCGTGGTATGGAAGGGTACCACATCAACATGATATTGTCAACGTTGTCTCAGCCTGTCGAATGGAATATTGAAAACAAAGATACATTCATTGCAAATTGTAGTTATATAGATTAAATAGATGTTGCCGTGTTGATTAATACAAAGGCTTTCAGCAAATCAAGTATCGAGGCACGTGTTTCCCTTCATGATTTACTCCGCCTGGATTTGCTCCGGTGTCATTGACGCAAAGTTGGGAGTCAGGCCCACAGGAGTGCTCATATTGGCCATGCCCGGCGTTCCAAGCCTGAGCTCCGCAGCTGGGTGCTCCGTTCGTGAGGGACTAAGAGCAAACGGAACGGGTGCTCCGCATAGATCGTTTAATAATATGCGAGGGGTAGACCCGTCTGATGGAATACTGATGTGTGCGGGCATGTTTTGGCTGGTGTCTGTGTACGTCATGTCTCTGGACATGTGTGCATGCAATGAACATACCAAACTATCTATCTCTCCCCACACATTCCGAGAGCAGGCACTGTGTGATTTGCGAGTCAGGCCCGGGCGGTGTGTCGCCCAGGTTGATCCCACCCACAAATGGAGTAGCGCCTGGCAGAATGAAAAATGGATCCCTACGCATCCCAGATCGCTTATTGGACACACAGGTCTTGAGCCACATTCACTTCCCATGTTCGTTGGAAAATGTTCAGCCATTCAAGCAAGGCCTAGGGATGGATCTGTGGCACTGGGTGTCACATCTACACCTCAAGTTCGCATTGAAGCAACTGCCATGGCAAATGCTATTTTGGAACGGCAGCACTACTCAACAGTTTTGATGACTTTTCAACTTTGTGCTGGATGCCCTGGATACCTTCACTGCTACAGCCATGAAAAAGAGATACAAAGACCTTGCATGTGCGTTTCATGTCACATTCCCTGGATGATCTGAGATCTCTCTGAGCTCTTGGCTGGGCGTGACATCTACGCTTGGCGTAACATCAGCGCTCGGCGTGGCGCCGACCTCTGCATCTTTCTCCGGCGCCGAATCCTCAGACGAAGCTCAGCTCGGACGCATCCTCACCGAGTGGATCTGCGCTGCGATCTGGGAAACCCGTGCCCATCTGGCACGCTTCTTCTTGCCAGCAGGCATTGGAGTATCACCTTGGTCCGAGATGGTGGAAGAAACACATATATATATATATATATTTATATTTATATTAAACTATATATATATATGATTCGGGCAAAAAAGGGGCAGGGAATCCTGAAAACTGAGACTCCTGCCCCACTCGCCGGCTTCTGGGGTCTCTCCAAACTCATCGCCCTGACCAAGCTGATACTCATGTCCTATGTAAGTGGCCTCAACAGAAATGCAGTAGAAACAGAGAAATTATCGGTTGGAGGCCATCGCTATTAGGGTGGAGGCCATTACTACTGGTAACAAGAAGCTCTTTAGTATGTCTTTGATCGCTACTAGTAACAATAAAGATGAAGGGAAAAAGAAAGATTGCATTTTGGGGGGGGCCCTTTGGGTCCCGCTCATAATGCTCGTTTAAAGGGGGCCTTATCAATTGGACCCAAACGCTTCACTTTCAGTTCCTCATATTTGCTCCTGTTGCTTTTGGTGATTGACCCACCTCGTCATCCTTCTTTTCGGCACTGACAGGCCTTGGCCATGTGTGTGTGCACTTCAGAACAACACTTTAGTGTAGTGTTACTCACGGAGTTCAAAATTATATAAGCCATCAACAATCCCTTGGTCCCAAGCGTCTCCGCCACATCGCCCCCACCAACGGGGGTGGCCTAAGCGGAAGGAAACTGTCTCAAACTTCAGATTGAAAAAGATCGAATCGATGTTCTTATACAATTCAGTTCTTTCTTTGATATGTCTTTTTTCGGTTCTTGCTTTCTTTGTTTCGTTCTTCCTTAATTTGAGGCTCTTACTTGGTCGAAAGACGAGCACGATAGAAGACTCGAACAAAAATGTGTAAGCATCGCACCCATCTGTCACCCTCTTCGCCAGAGGGTTTTGCCTCCTTTGCCTCTTTGGCCGCTTCTGCTGCCTCCTCAGACTCCAACATTTTGAGCTTCAACAATGCTAGCCGCTAGCGTTTGTTACACTCGAGGGCTCTCGTTAAGAGGCGCACTGCTCGTCTTTTCTTCGCCGCTTCTGGGTCTTCCTGACAAGTTCAACCAGGCCTCCATAAATTCATATGAACCACCTTCAATGTGTTTAAGCAACCCAAAACGTCTATATAGATGTTCGCAGCACCAAGTCCTTACCCTCAGCTTTTGCGGTGGCCTCCTCCTGAAGGTTCAACAGCAATAAGCCGCACCCAACTGCTCCAAAGGCTGAATTTAGGCATGTTATATTCTGCTAGGTTCATCCTGCGTTCCAAGGCAGCTTTCAGGGCAACTGCCCCGCCGATTGGAGCCACCGGGATATTAGCAGTTCTGAATCTAGCCGGTCCTCCTTCTTCTGCCTTATCTTTTCAAGAACCTCCTTTTTCTCTTTGTCCAGCTGTTGGCCAACCATCACGTCCTAAGAAGGGCAAGCTTTGACTGTCATGCAAAGATCTTGACTTCTGACAAAAGAAACCTCTGCACCCGCAAACTTGCAAAAATTACGGCATCTAGGACTCTTGGACAAAGCATATCGTATGTCCAAATGCCAAGAGTGAAAATCAACGACGACTACGATTACGACTACGACTACTGCTGCTACTGCTGCTACTGCAGCTGCTGCTCCTACTCCTACTCCTACTCCCTCTCCTACTCCTTCTCCTACTGGTAGAGCTACAGCTCTGAGGTTGCCACGGCATAAGTCTGGAGCTCTGGAGCTGGCGTGGAGTCTGCGAAAGGGTCTGCCCGATCAGGGGAAAGCATCCGCTTTTTCCCCTGCCTTGGAAGTCGATTTGATCAGAAACAGTGGACCTTCTGGCCTTTTTCGCGTGTGGAGATGCCCTTGTTGGTCTTTGGAATCAATACCAAAAGACTACAAAGGTGCTAATCTTGGGTCTGGACTCCCTGTACTCATCCTCAGATAAGATCTGCTATTTGATGAACAAGTTTATGAAAACTCTCTGACCCATTCTCACCAAACTTGACCTGATAAATTTGATATGTTTTTTGTGTCGTAGATCGATTCAGTTTCGTGGGTTTGGACCTGAGCTCTTCTGGGTGCCTTGCTCCTTCTTGTTTGTCCTTGGGCAAAGGCGCCACATAGGCCATCCCAATCAAAGACATTCGAAACTGGTATATATGGGGCTTCCGACCGCCATGCTGAGCAGCAAAATCTTTCCTTGGTGGGAACTCCCGTCTCTCAAAGGGGAACGTCGTTGACACCCTCGTTCCGCAGAAGTGCTCTACTTGGTCTGAGGACATGGCTCAGGCCGCGTGTCTTAATGTCGAAATTGAGCCATGAAGGCCATGAACGGCAGCATAGACTAGTAGCGTCTTGCTACTAGTAGTAAGGCCAGGAGCCCCTAGTAGCGTCCTTGCTCCTAGTAACGATGCCCTTTGTTACTAGTAGTTTCTTGTTACTACAGCACAGGAAAATGTACAAAAATTGACCATTACCGTTACTTTTGAACAGAACCCCCCTCTCCACAGCATGGTGTTTCACTGCAAATGTGTGCTCCCTCAATCTCCTCCGAAGCGAGTGTCAGCTGTCTCACTTTCCATTTTTCGGGGTATGCGCAGTGTTCAGTCATGCATCGAGAGAGTTGGTGGTGCCCACAATTGCGAGAATTTGATGCGTGCTTCTCCTGCCAATTGGCTCTATTTCTTCGTTTCAGTTTGGGCATCCAACAATATGATACGATACCCGGTGACACTGTTCGACACAAGCGAGTACTGAGTACTGCGAATTAGTGAAACCAGCCTTTTGTGGCAGTTGTGCGATCATCTGTCATACACACTCGTCAAAGCGTTGGTAAGCTAATAACTCTGGAAAAAGAAATGTGGATCATCATTGCAAAACCAGTTTGGGACAACATTGAAAAATGTCTCAGGTGTGCTTTGCCTGAATGCATCACCGCTGCTGTCTGCTTGCACGTCACTCAGCGACATGTGCAACCTGGTTGATTCAGAACTGAAAATCGGCCATCATGTGGGACACGTTGGCAGTAGATAGTGCACAACATCTTCCCCTCATGACCATTGCTCGACACGTAACAACTAGTTGTTGGAGAGGTGGTCATGGCAGCAGTGTTCTAACAGCAACATCCAAGTAGCAGTGAAAGTTAAAGCGGTTGTCGTGGTAGCAGCAGTAGTGGCAGCGGTAGTATTGCCTGTGGTGCTGCTAGTGATAGTCCCAGTAGTGCCGGCAGTGGCGGTGGCGGCGCCAGCAGGGAGTGGCAGGAGCAGCAGAAATGGCATCAGCAGTAAACAATGCAAAGTAGGTGAATTTGCATTGGGCGGCTGCTGCTGTTGTTGCTGCTGCTGCTGCTCTGGTGTCGACTTTGGGGCCTTGCGAACTTGAGTGGTGAGAATTCTGGGCCTGTGAAAGTAGCAGCAGCCACAGTGCAATCAACTCTTCGAATGGTAGGGGCAGCTAAGTGGAGGTTATATTGGCACGATGGCAGCTGCTAAAACAATGAACCCGAACCTGCTGAAATCAAACTGATTAATATAGCGCAAATTGAGACAAACTCGGATACCAAGCTTCCAACCTACGCCTTCATTCCGCCACACGTAGCAGGCAGTTATTGCGCTTTGTAGATCATGAACGCGAACCTGGGTGGTTTTGATGCGACCGAATAATCAGCACCGTTTTAGGATCGAGGTGGAAGACTATAATCCCTGCATGTCTATGAAAACGGTCTCTTGGCCACTGGCTGGTCAACGTAAAAGTACACCTCAGCAATGTTGCTAGAAGGAGCACTGGACGTTTGGCACCCCGAGGCAGTGGTCTTTCAATACAAACTGCAAACAAAGGCTGGAGTAGTAGTTTATGGCTGTAAACTGAAACTGTCAACTACACCTTACTGTATGTATATATATATACATATATGCAAGAAAAACACCTGCTTGAGGCTCATCACCCATCCCCCTACTCTGCTCAAAGTGGGCTCTTCAAAAGCGGCATCTTTTCCAGCGCTCTAAAACGGCTCAGCACTCCGACACGACGATAATGCCTGGCAAACATCTTATTTTGAGACCGGGGGGAGGCCGTAGAGGTCGGTTAGCTAGAGGTAGGTAGCTTACTTCAGCTACTAGGAACTGGCGGAAGCTTCCTTGAAGAAGCGCTCGCACTTATGATTTATTTCCTTCTCAGCATCTCTGACTGGGAGTTTCTTCAGTCCACAGCGACCCCAAAGCGACAAAGGCCTGTGTTCTGCTTCAATTCAGCAACGCAATTCGGCAATTCTGTGAGCTTGGTGGTCTGCAAGTGCAACTCCTATCTGCGAATACTAGTTAGTGACTAGTGCCAAGGCAAATTCCAAGCAATCTCTTACTCTTGACGTACCTCCGCACCATTGGAGGGCCTATGTCCAATTGCAAATCTGGGCGTCTGCCACAACGAGACTGGCTTCCTCCAAAGCCGTTAGGGCCGACATGCTTTCCGGCAAAGATTCCAATGGGTTGAAGCCCAGGAACAACTCCTCACATGAGCTCCAAATGGCGAGGTCAATGACCGAATCGACGGCCGAATAAATCGATGCCGCTGTATGTGAGTGTCCCACACTCAAACCGCACTCCTTCAACTCGCTTAGCTGTCCAATGCTCTCAGGAAGGGTGCTCAGCTGATTTGCTGCCAAGCGGAGCCTCAAGACTTCAGAGGTGAGAGAGGTTTGCAGTCTTTTTCCGCTTTCGTCTACACTGTTTTTTACGCACTTCGTCCTGCGGCAGAGCCTTGACGCTTCCACATGCCGAGAGGCTCCTGAAGATTGGAGAGCTTTCCAAAGCTTTCCTGATGAAACATGGGCAAATCATTTGGTGAGGTTCTCATCTCAACTTCAGTGCACAGAACTACTTGTATCCAAATCCAGCTCAGTCTTCCCTTGCTCAAAAGTCTTTTTGTGCTCAATCTGGCAAAGAGACGAATTGCCACTTTTTGGTCAAGGGGCTGGGATCTCGGATAAGTTGTTGTCAGTGAGATGAAGCTCCTGATGAGATGAAGCATTTTCGGCAAAAACTCAGGTGGCCATGAAAGTCTCCAGTTGAGACTCTGCATGTCTGGTGAGCCGGTGAATCGAAGCTCAGCGGTCCGGTCCTCCAAAGCCTTCAGATCTCCAAAGCGCTCTGGAAGCTCTCGGAGGAAGTTCGAATCAAGGAACCTCCAGTGTCTCAGTGTCATACAAAGATGGTATCATTCCGATTTTGCTCAAAAACAAACCAAAGTTCGACAAACATTAGAATACATCAGATACGCAAAGCGTATAGAATTCAGGTAAGACCAATGCCAAGGCCGGCCAAGAAACAATTTTTTCAGGCTTTGCAAGCTACAAAAGCTTTCCTCCAGCTTTTCCAGGCAATTCTCACGCCTGAAATCCACAAATAGTTGACATGTGGTGCGATGAGAAATGTCGGAAGGGATGATGCTGGTAGCATGGCGGAGGTGCTTCTGTATGGCTAAGGCAGGCACAATGACAACCTCAGGCTTTTAGCGCAAGCTCCAATCATGGAATCCAAAAAACCAATCTATCAACAATGCTGATGGAACTTCATTCGTGGCCCTAGGCGTTAAAAAGTAATAGAATACCTCAAGCAGTTGTATGGATGTGGCAAGAGAACATGTTGTCAAACAAACTGGGATAAACTGGGTAAATGAGAAACAGAATTGGCATGAGCAACATAAAGAGAGGAGAAAAGAATATTGCACACAGAGTTCACACGACTTTTACAAATCGAAATGACTCAAACAATCCGTCAGTAGGAAGGCAATAGCCACCCATTTGGACAAGACACTTCTGTAGTCCTGTGAGGCCAAAAATATCTGGCAAGGCCTTTAGTTTGTTCTTCGCAAGGTAGAGCTGTGAGATTTGAAAGAGTTTGCCTTCAGGCATGGCCCGTCTGTTTCTGAGAACAAAGTTTGACCACAGAAACTGTATCAAGTACAACTGGTGCAGCGCCAGAAAACGCCGAACAAAGAGAGCTACACGCTCTCTGGGCCCATTTTCAAACATGTTCAAACAGTGCCCGCTGTAGCAATAGTGTAAAAGCCGTCCCGTCTTCTTCTGAACTACTTCATCGAAGTTGTGAGAGGTGTGTGTGTGTGTAACCTTTGGAGTCACAAGGCTCCTGTTGGATTGCTTGGCTTGAATCTTTTCTTAAGCAGGGGCGTGGGGAAGCTGGGTAACCACATCCTACTCTAGTGCTCAGGCTGGTGAGGTATCAGAGGTCGGCAGATGTGCATTAAAGGGCTACTGCACTCGTCGCTCGAGTTTGTTTGTCAACTTGGCTTTTGAAACTGGAGTTTGAATTTCGGAGTCTTGGACGAACCGCATAATAGAACTTTTCAGGTTCATCTTACTTCACCCGCCTTCTTAGGTTTTTTCACTTAGGCTGGCGTGTGGCAAGCCGCAACCAAGTCAGAACGCAAAATCTCAAGTGTGCCAGCCCAGGGTGAGCCCGCAAAGTGCCCCCTGTGGACCCGTCGAACGGGGGTTTGTCGTTGTTCGCCTTGCCCGGGAACGTAGGTGTCCGAAGCGGACAGCAGGAGGCTTATGCCAAAGTTATTTGCCAAGACTTGACGGATTATTGAACTCCAAGCTGGCCGCCATTTTGGCATGCTTTTAGGTGACCACAGCGGTCAGAGCAGCCATCCATTTTGGCACGGCGTACGTGGCCGCAGCGGCCGAAGCATGTTCAAGGTTCAGTGGAACCTGTCGCCACCTCAGGTGCACACACTGCACGTACATCTTCAACGAGGTTTGCCCAGGTTTTCTAATGAGGTTCGGGTTCATTGGCTTTCGTCCCCTCCGTTTGGTTTCCCCTTTTCATCCCTTCCCCTACGCACACTTTTGATTTCCTCTCTTCTTTCATGTCCTCCTGTCTTCATGTTCTGTCCTCTCATCCTTTCTTTCGTTTGCGCGCACAGCGGTCCTGGCCTTAGTGTGTACGTGCACTTCTACACACACTTTCAACACAGGTTTCAGGTCGCCCAGGTCTTGACAATGAGGTGGGGTTCATCGGTTGTCCCTGTGCAACCACACACACCTTTGTCCCGTCTCGTCCTCCTTCTCATGTCTTCATCCTTTTGTCTTTGTTGCGCACACACTTCTGAACCCTCCCTCGCCTTAATTTTTTTTGCCTCCCCTCGGGGAGGCGTGTGTGTGTGTGTGTAACCTTTGGAGTCACAAGGTTCCTGTTGGATTGTTTGGCTTGACTCTTTTTTTAAGCAGGGGCGTGGGGAAGCGGAGCCTGATCAGCTCCGTGTACCTGCTGGGCTTTGTGGCGTTAGGTAACCACATCCTGCTCTAGTGCTCAGGCTGGTGAGGTATCAGAGGTCGGCAGATGTGCATTAAAGGGCTACTGCACTCGTCGCTCGAGTTTGTTTGTAAACTTGGCTTTTGAAACCGCAGTTTGAATTTCGGAGTCTTGGACGAACCGCATAATAGAACTTTTCAGGTTCATCTTACTTCACCCGCCTTCTTAGGTTTTTTCACTTAGGCCGGCGTGTGGCAAACCGCAACCAAATCAGTACGCAAAATCTCAAGTGTGTGTTTGCACGCGCATATGTGGTGCAATCAACGACGTGCCTCCACATGATCAACATTGATGCAGAAAGACATTACAAAATCACAAGTGTGAAAAACTGGGGCAAACGAGTTACAAACAAGCTCCGAGAAAAAACGAATAATAACAAGCTCCTGCGCATCGGCTCATTCGCCCCGACGGGGTTCGGGCGCAAGGGGTTCGGGCCTATGCTGTCTGGCAGCGCCTCTAAGCCAGCTTCGCCCACATGCAGCTCCTGCAAGGCCTGAATGGGGCGGGAAACGCTGAAGATGACGGAGCACAAGGGACCTCAAAGGACCTAATAGCACAGCAGGCATCATTGAATCATTGAAGTGTCTCTTGGAAACTAGCCAGCTGATTTTCTAAAGAGTCCTAATGCTTGGACCCCAGAAGACTGTCCCTTCCCGGTTGAAGAGGCCAAGTACCTCACGATGGAGACGAGCCCAAGGCTTCGGAGACGAGCTGCGCCTGGAGCTGACCTAAGGCTTCGGGCAGAGCGGTCAGCGGGTTGTTGCCCAACTGCATCATCTGAAGTTCTCCCAACCTAGGAGATGCAGAAAAACAGTGCAGGAAAGGCAGTCAACAGTCAACACTGCGAACTAATGTTAGTCAGCTAGTTTTTGTCTTGGACTTTGTCTTAGTGGTAGCAACAACAAAAATCCTTTCCATGCTTGGAATACCATGCATCTCGTCTTTGCACACACACTCTCAGCAATGTTGTACAGCAAGCGGCATGCCGCTCAATGTTTCCCTACTATATACGGTAGCTGGAAACATTCACAACTTAAACAATCTGACAGTTTCCTGGTGGTCTGCTGTAAGCCTGAATCTGATGTTCCATTGCTCATGCCTCCACCTTGGCACCACACTCACAGCAGCTGTCGGGCAAGGTCTCGAGCTCATTACGTGCCAGGTAAAGCTCCTTTTCAAGGGCAACCCCACGATTTAGACTCGGAAATTAGACTCAACACAAGCGGAAAGTACACTTGTTGAAACTGCGTGTGACCGCCTGGCATTGGATGTTTACATCTATGCATTTGATGACAAGTGGGTGGACTTGTTCTGTGTGCAAAGGTCAAAGAGTAAAGCATGTAGCATGCTTTGTCAGGTGAACCCTTATTGGGATTTGGTGTTTTTCCACCCTTGGGAACAAGACGTCAGTGCAACATAGGCCAACAGTGTGTCCTGCAGCAAAGAGAGGCGCCCAAGGCTTTCAGGAAGTTGGCGCAGGCGATTGGACCCTAGGACTTTTCACCAATCGCAAAACAGTCGAGCCCGCCTTTGTTACTAGTAGCTTCTAGCTACTAGTAGTAATGGCCTCCAATCTACTAGCGATGGCCTCCAACCTAGTAGCTTCTTGTTACTAGTACGTTTCCAACAACTACATTGCACAATAAGATCGACAAGTCTTGTCCGGATCGCCCCAACGGCAAAAGTTGCAAGAACCTTGATGTTCTGTACGCGGATAGCATATTTTCAGCCGAGATACCCAAATGCAACTTTCGAAGACTCCGCAGTTTACCGATTTCATCGGGCAAATACCAGATCTCGTTGTGGACGAGATTCAGCCTGGTAGTCTCTACCAACTCATCGAAAACTGTGAACATGTACACAAGTTAAGCTTATCCATTGGGCTCATACATTGACTCAATGGAGTTTCACCGTGGCTGTTGTGGCTCAGTTCCTTGTAGTTCCTAGCTTTCTATTCTTTGGGTGCTGAACGAGATGGCACCTCAGAGTCCCAGATCGGTTTGAGACCGTGCTGAAATGAATCGATGATAATCTTCTACTTTTTGGGGCCCTTTTCAACCACGTAAGTAAGGTGATTCGCCCATTGCATGCAGCACACCCAGTAAACGCAGAGTTTGCAATAGAATGCATTGAAGACAAGGCTGCTGAAAGCTTCCGAAAAGCTACATGCACTTTAGAACACAGCTCCCCCCACTGCAGCACAATCCTTCATTCAAACTCTGTACTTCCACTAGCGGGCAGTACAGCTACAGCTCTCTACCTCCGATGTGCTGGCTGAATCCAAGCGGCGTCTCAAGTTGCTGCAGCTCTCCGATGCTCCTGGGCAGTGTTTGGAGCTCATTGGAGCTCAAATGAAGCTCCCTCAAGGCCAAGTTCTGGCCTCGGATGGAGCACCGAAAGCATCCTTTCCACGCATCCGAAAGCCAATAGGTACGAACTACATAGTACATAGACCAGACAAGCTTCTCGCGATGGATAGACTGAGGCTGAGAAATTGAGAAGCTTTCGGGATCAGAGCTGGTTCGAGCAAAACATGAAATCATACTGATTCTTTATGCAAAAGAAGTATCTGAGCGGAAAGGAGCACCTTGGCAGCTGAGGGACCAATGCTTCTTGGAAGCGAGATGAGCCTTCGCTGCAGACTGTGGGCTGAGTGGGATGTGGGTCCAAGCGAAATTTGGGATTCCACAATCCCCGAAGGCGCTGAGGCAATGAAACACTGTGACTTTAGCTTGGGGGGCTCCCTTGTTTTTCTAGAATGTTGTGGTTTCACCTTATATAATGCTGTTTGAAAGGTGTGAACATATGGAATAAGCTCAACCTAGGCCTGGCTGAACATGTTCGATCAGTTGAGGATCTTTGGTAGTTCCAACTAAGTGCGTCTCTGGGTATCCAATCAAAACTGTAATCTGAGATAATTATGTCGTGTTTTAGGTTCAAAAATATGTGTGGATGTCTTTCCATTGAACTGGTTGTTGGAAGTCATGGTATCTGCAGCGATGGACCAGTGGGTGGCACTTGGGATATCGGAGGTAGTTCTTTGGGGGATAGTTAGTCATTGCTGTCCAGGGTACCCCCCCACACAAGTCATCTCCAATCAATATCTAATCAAAGGCATTTTCGACTTTTGGATGCTGTGGTGCGATGATCTGTATAATCTTTGGAGACCTTTCTCCATGGCATTCCGATGGGTGCTACAATGGGTAGTGAGCACGTATGAATGGATGAACGGATGCATCGATATGTAGTCCGATGTCCACATCCACGGACAGGTAATGATACAAAGAATTGACATGATATAAGTTAAGTTTCCCTAAACATCTAGGAACCAAATGAATAGTGCGAGAGCTTCTTCGAGGAAGCTTCCCCCCGCCGCCTTTAGGGCAGCGGGGGGAGCTTCCTTGAAGAAGCGTGAGCTATCCTGCGTCCATAAGTAGTAGCTACTTGTTGGCTACTAGCTACCTAGCTACTACTAGCTACCTACCTCTATATACTAGCGGCCTCCCCCCCCGGCCTGTCCCCTTCACCTTCCACACCAATCTGTGAACAGTTTTCGACTACGCCTGGCGATTGAGCAGAGTTGCTGGCTCGTGTCCACCCGCAGGTCTCGCAGCTTTGACAACTGTCCCAAAGTCTCAGGAAGCTCTTTCAGCGGACTGGAGCTCCTCGAAACTGTGGGCGAACTCGTACAGCTTTAGAATGCTTTTAGAGCCATACACTATTGTACCGACTCGGCACTCCATGTTCTTCCCTTTTTTGTCAATTATTTTGTAGCCCGAGGCCCCGCCCTCCTACTTCATTAAGTAAGGAGGTCAGCTAACTAGGAACTGGACACAGGATGGCTCACGCTTCTTCAAGGAAGCTCACCCCGCTGCCCTAAAGGCGGCGGGGGAGCTTCCTTGAAGACGCTCTCGCACTATTCATTTGGTTCCTAGATTTTTTGGGAAACTTGATCTCGGCACTCCATATTCTATACTGAAGAGAAGCGGTGCCTTCTGTTTTATCCACCTTCCGAGCGCCTCCCTCGAGCAATTGATCTGGTGCTCGAGTTGCCTCCAGGCCTTTTAGGTGTCACGATTGAAACATGCTGAAGCCATACTTCAGCTCAGCATCAAGATGAGTTCTTCGAGGTCTTTGAGCTGGCCAATGCCCCTGGGAAGATCCATGAGTTGTGCACCGTGGACTCGGATGCACGGTTCCTGACACAAGCATTCCCGCCGGTGTCCACCCTAATCTATGAACATCAGATTGAAGAAAAGCCTTCATTGCGAACGGATGAAAAGTGTGCCCTGGCCCCGTTCTAGCCCTTAGTTCAACATGAAGCTCGCGCGCTAAAGCTCCTTTTTACCTGGTTGGGCACTTGAGCCAAAAGTATATGGCATGTACCTGTATAGCAACTATACTGGGACCTCATCCCTATTGACACCCCCCACATCCGTACTTCGACGGGGAAGGGAGATGAGTGGATGTAAAAACCGGAGAACGAATCACGTTCTCAAAAGTGTATTGGAGGTCAACCAGTATGTCCTATTGAATTGAATTAGCAAACGATCTTGCATTCGCTTGAAAGTTGGATCAAACAGGTAATGGAGCTACAAACGGAAAACGTGCGCCTACCTATGGTATCATGCGATTACCAACGGTGTGAAACACAATCCTATCTCACTCCCATGATGCCAAAACGGTCATCATGAATTACCCAAGATCCCTCAGTACTTGAAGTACCGGAAGTGGCATGTCGGTACGACCCCAATGCTCAACCATTCGTGAGTTGTCGCATGTAGTCAGCGCCGACAAAGCCAATGTAGTCCTTGATGAGCTCAACGTTCCTCGGATTTCCCGCTCGGATCTGCTCCTCGAAGAACTTCAATTTCTGTGCTTGGATAGCGGATACCTCTATGCCATAATAGCGGCATGCAACGAGGATCTCCTTCGTGACATTCTTCCGCTCCGATTTGATGGCGGGACTAATGTCAATGAATTTGTATGGAGCGGCACTTTCGTCATCTGGTTTCTGGTAGTAACTATATCGGCTCGCTCCGAAGGTCTTCCTGATCAAGCGTCTGATGAAATTTGAGATGAATGCCAGTTTCTCGATGATCTCTTCCTGGGTCTCTGACCTTCGAGCCTTTGGATCACTCATGTTACGCCGAGTGCTGCCGACCTCTTTGAGGTACTTGTGGCTAAGCCCGCAGCGGATTGCAGTGATCATCATCGGGTGAACAACGTGGGCGTGGAATTCATAGATCTGCCACGCTTCTGTTGCATACACGTCGTTGGTCCATTTGCTCATGCCTACGACCTCGGCTCTCTGGAGACGTCTTGGAAACCCAGTATCCGGATCATTCGGTACTATTGGCCATCTATTGTACGGAGTATCATGCCGCTGTCCATCGTCGAACTTTCGCAGCACATCTTCACGACTCTCAAAGCAGTTGATGTCGAATGTTGCGTTGGCCAAGCTCTTGATCAACTTCATCAACCTCAGATCAAATTGTTGTGTGACTGCAAAGTTGTGGTCGATGGGGATCGCAGCTTCTTGCGGCAATTCGTCAATTGCGAAGGGGAAGGGCTGTGGAAGTTCATTCCCGTATCCATCTTGAGGGACCTCCCGATATTCGGGTTCGCCTTCAGCTTCGTCCGGTCGTTCCTTCAAAATGATAGGAACTTCCTCCTCTTCCTCTCCTTCGGATTCCTCGACCTCAATGACCTCTTCGGCTGTCTTGCGTGCGTTCTTGATGACTTCATCGATATTCGCACCCGCAGCAGAAGTTGCTTCACCGGAAGAACTGGCTGGGACATCTCTCGGAGGTGATCGTTGATTGCGGTCCCTTGTCTCCTTGGGTACCACATGCGTGAGCTTCCCATTCGCGATCAAAACCGCTACGCAGTGCGGACATATCGTCAATCGCACATCGACTTCGCCAAGACAGTTAGGACACGGTCTTGAGTCATAGTCTTTCATTGCCCGGCGGTATACGATCTCCTCAAAGATTTCCTGCCACTCGGTGCTATCATATTCTGGGTAGACACCACTCTCCTCGATCATGCCCAACAGCTTTGAGATTTTGGCGTCGTCCTCGGAGTAGGTATCGTCCTGAACCTCAACCGCTAAACTCTCAAGCTTTTGATAGCGTGGAATCATGATCGGGTTTCCGTATTTGGACTCCAGAACAAGGTAGCTTCCAGGGTCGGGTTCCCTATTGAGTAACCTGATCCATTCGATCTCCTCAGGCTGTCCGGGTTCCGCATTGTCGCATTGCAACCATGCCCCTTTAACCTCATCGAAGGGAACGACGTTCTCAACCAATAGAGATCCAGTCGCTGAGATGAGAAGTCCGTACTCCTGCAGCTTCCACACCGGAATGTAGAGAACCACTGGGCGATCACTCAATGCGACCTTACGACCCAGCCAAGGTTTTCCCTTGTAGCCCTGCTCCCAGGCCCATGGCGGAAAACATGTGAAGTGGATGGAATCCCTTCCCGATGAACCGAGACCTCCTGGCACTAGCCCCCGTCGCATGATTGAAGTCAGCGCTCCAAGATTGGTAGCGTGAAATGCAGTCACCATAGATAGGGCCATGTCGTTGGTCATTCTCGATCCAATGTGGTCGATGTTGATGGTAACGTCATAACCTCCGCCGTCCGTTGAGTGTGCTGAGGTTGCTCTTACGGCCACGGGAAAGCACCATCCATCGCTATGGTGGAGTCTTCCTTTGGAGATTCCCATGCCCTTGAGTTCGTCAATCCATTCCTTCTCCATCGGGTCATCAGGGTCATTGAGTTCATCAGGGTGAACGCGGACCGCCAACATTTGGAATCTGATCCTCTTGGTTATGCGGAAACACTCATAGTTCTGGTCGAAGTACTTCTCCAAACGCGCCTTCTTGGTCACGATGTCTATGTTGCCGTAGTGATAACCGTCTTCCCAAACTGCGTTATCACCTAACAGGTCTTCCCATGACACCCATGCGCCTTCATCGCATTTGATTGGTGTGAGTCTTCCTCCCGTCCTGAACTGGCGTCCAATTCGATGCCTCAACTTCGCTCCCAATCGACGACTCAGGGCCTGGCTCGCTTGGCTGTATTCAGGTACTCGACAGTCTGGAGTCGGATACTTGTGGTTGCCGTAGTCGGAGTTCTGCGCGGCGAAAGTGACTCCGTTGATCGGTACTAGCTCAACTTTCCCGACCATCGTCATGGGGTCGATCGGCTTGTATCCCTTCTCCCTCCGTGTCGGTAGGGGATAGAAGTGATGACATGCCTTTGGTGTGAGGGAACTGGAGTGCACAAATGCCTTCTCTACAAATTCGTACACCACCCTCATATCCCTAGGGCCTACTTCCGCAAGCTTCCGCCCATTGTAGGAATGTGTCCCTCCTTCGACTCCATCAGCACTTTCGATCAAGGTGAATCCGTCATGGTCGAACATTGTCACGACTCTTGCTTTCAACATTTCTTTTCGCCTGAACTCGCTGTCGACCTTCCTATCTGGAGTAGGCGATGCTCTCTGCTTCTTCTTCTTAGGCTCCTCGGTTGGATGTCCGGATGGTACATCGTCGGGTGCAACCTCTCCCTTCACTCTCTTCTTCCAATCACTCAACACTGAGGTGACTGTAGGTGAAGATGAAGGGGTCTTCTCGCAATTGAGAGTTGTGTGTCCCGACTTCATGCAGTGGATGCAGAATTCTGCTTGCCCGATCTTCTCCTCGAATTCGTCGATGGCTTGCAGTATTGATGTCTTCGGGTCGGACATGTCAACGTCTTGCTCCTCCTTCTCCTGTTCACATTCAGTCTCCATATCGACACCTTCGGCCTCGGGCTGGTCAGTAGCCTCTGTTCCCTGTTCTGGTTCTTTCCCAATTTCGAAGAAGTGGTCGATGTCGAATTCAGGAGGCGGCATGGTCCTCATGCGAACGAGAATCAGTGCCACGTTTGCCGCCTCATCAGAGTGCGGGTCCAAGGTCCTGATCGTCGATCGTTTTCGGTTCTCATACGTTGTCCTGTCGTACAGCGATGCAGTGACGCGTTTGATGGATTCTTCTAATCCCGTCCTCAAAGCTTCGATGTCACCCCATCCCTTGAACAGGTGTCTGAAGAGTTGAGCAATTTCGAACATGCCCAGCAGCGCTTCCACCATGTCACCTACCCGTTCCTCCGTGGGATCATCTCCGAATATAGTGCGGAATACATCGGGCTCCAATATGGTCTTGAGGTATTTGGTGTAGCACACGTTTCCAAGGTCATAGGATCCCTGGTAGTACTTGGCGCTGCCGACTATCTGCTTTTCCACATGGATGCTGGGTCCTCTCCTCGTTTTGAAGAAGTTCTCCGTCATTGTTGATGACAACCTGATCCCCCCGAAGAACGAGATCTCCTTCTGGAAACCTGGGTTCCCGTTAAAGATGATCATCGCCTCGTGTAAGAACTTCATCAAGTCTACGTGCGGGTTCATCTCGGAGATCATGACGGTGGGAGAAGATACCGTTTGCCCCATGCCGAAGTTGTGAAGCAATCGCGCACATGCATGGAATCGCTTTTGGACGTAGTCTTCTGCGGACATCCCACGGCATCTATTTGCTGCTCCGTTGATGCATTCTGCATAGCAATCGTCTTTCAAATCGGAGTCTATGGGATTGCAGACCAGACAGTAGTCGCAGCAAATTTCCTCACCCTCCTTAAAGTCATCAATGACGTACCACCTTTGAGTCCTCGAGTATATTGGTTCTGGCTGAAGGATTCCCCAGTACTCATCCATCCATGGCATCTTGTTCTCTCTCCTTACCTTCTCCCTCTTCCTCCGCTCAGACTCATTCTCACCTGAAGCCCCTGCAGTGGACTGATATGCATGGCTTCCTCTTACGGAATCTCCGAACAAGTACTGATACAACCTCTCTTTGTCCTGCAACACGTGTTCCAAGTTGGGATCATGGAGGCTATTCGCTTCGGTCAAGGGATCCGGTGCCATAAAGCAAGAAGCGAGCATCTTTTCTCTGAACAAGTACTTTTCCATGACAGCGTGGACCAAAGAGGTTCCAGACTTCATAGAGTATGGGTGACCGCTTCCGGCGACCGAAATGGCTCGCCAGAATCTGTCCGACGTTGTGGACATCATGCCATTCAGCGACAGCTCGTCCTTGATCGTGTTGGCGATTTTACCGAACGAACCGACGGCATGGTGAAACTCCACGTCTGCGCA